ATAGATGGAGGTGTGGCGTTAAGAACAATGAACATAGCAAAGAAGAGCAAAGTCAGAATCTAAAAAGTCCAGGGAGCAGAAGCGGAAACCCCGCAAATTCAGCAGACGTCGCAGCGACGCAGAAGAACGACACCCTGCGAACAGACGACACCCTTGCGAAACAACGCAGAAGCAGACGACGCCCCTACGATCACGGAGCAGAGTGCAGAAGCGGCGACAGCTCGAGCAGAGCGGCGACGACGAAGGAGACGCGACCTAACAGACGACTCAGATCACCAAATCCAAATCGGCAGACGAGCGAAGCGAAAGCAGACGCTAGGATTCGTCGTGAGGCGAAACTCTAGCAGAGTGGGGAGACTAATATATATATATATATATATTCATTTGTGCTATGTGTGTGTGTGAAATTAAAACATGTGTGTCAATTTTTCTCAATTCCTCCATTACTTGCGATGTCTTATCCTCAACTCATATCTGTGTTTTGCTTTCTTATAATGGGTATTACTATATGGATCAAGCTTTTGTTAATTTTGATATCCTAAATGCGTCAGTATGGCACGTTTTGTGAAACCGGTGATTCCTGCATGCCTTTGCATGAACTATCATTTATTTTGTTGTTTTTGTCAATGGCAATATGGTGATGCAAGAGTCTTTTCATGGTATTTTCGATGCTCTGGATGCCATGATTGAGTTTTGCTAACCGAGCAACATTTTGATGAGTTTGATTTGCGAGGCATGTTTTGGGCTAGACTTTTGTGATTTCGAATATGGTGTCCCCTTTTTTGATTTTTTTTATCAAATTAGATGTGTGGGTCCTTTCTGGCATTGTAGGCATTCTGATTGAGTTGACATGATTCATTTTGTCATTTGATTCGAGCTATTTTGACTATTATTGAGACACTTTGATGTGACTTGACATTTTGTTGTATTCAAATATCATTATTAGTTTTGATTTTGATTGGGTCTAATTTGTATTGCATCATGACATTTGTAAGTAAACAATGCCAACCATTTGGAAGCCAACTCTAGAAAACATCAATGTGTTGACAAGCAGGGCGTTATGAGCAAGAAGTACTTTTTAGGGAGAGATTGATAGCTTGGAGGAGGGACTAGAGAGACATTTGAGATTTATTTATATTGAGAGAGTAAGAGTTGAGTAAGGATCAATTACCAGAAATGTTGGGAAGCACAGTTACAGTATGCTAGGGTGGGTTTGAGGAGTAAATGCTTAATATATAGAAATTCATGGGTTCTTAACACCCAATTAATTGTTTAATGATCCACTTTTTATTGCATTGATTTCTATAGCACTAATTCAGAATTAGAATGGATTGCAAATGGCCATACACGATCAATTCATAAAATACATTGGGAAATCTGTTTGAATTAAACAATCAAGCGTGAAATTTCCATAGAAGATATTTATTAATTATGAGTTGGAATGGGCAATCATAGATCAAATGAAACAATTGCCTTTTGGGAAAAGATGGAGAGCTGTTAATCTTTTCTCAAATAAAAAGCTGAAGAAGTTGATTTATGACAGCACATTTAGATGTTATTTTTCTTTTAGTGAATACAACCAAAAATGATTTTTATTATTTTGCCAATTATTTCTCTGAATGTAATGCCGTAGGAAAACCACATATAGTTGCCTGTCTATCAACAGCAGTTCTAATAATTCTAAGTGCAATTTGTTGTTAAGACGAAGTGATCATCATAAATCGATTATTTATTTCTAGGCCACGTTTTGATTTTCCTTCCCCAAGTGATTTCTACATTTGCAAGTCATCTAGTTTCAGCCTCCTGCTCTACAATTCCGATTTAACAGTACTTAAGTTATTCATTTGATATTTTATGAAGCACCTTTCTTTAATGTCCGGCTCCTCATCACTTTTATTAATTATTTCTATTCAGGGGAGCCCAAGGCGATTCCCTGGACACATGCAACGCCTTTGAAAGCTGCTGCAGATGCTTGGTCACATATGGACATTCGTAAAGGAGATGTTGTTGCGTGGCCTACTAACCTTGGTTGGATGATGGGTCCCTGGTTGGTTTACGCCACTTTATTAAACGGCTCTGCTATGGCACTATACAACGGTTCCCCTCTTGGGTTAGGATTTGCAAAATTTGTACAAGTAAGCTTTTCTCGAAATTCTTTTTCTTTTACATGAAGCTCATTGAAGAGTTGAAGCTGCTTATTAGAAGGAATGTGAAAAAAAAACGCACGCTTGTTAGTGTTTGAAATTAAAATATTTTCTAATAAAAATAAGTGTTGACAATATTAGTCAACACTCAAAGATTTATTATATATTTGTAGATTATGCTTTAATATATGTCGATATATTATTTAGAAACTAATGATTCGATCCAACCTAAATAATTTGATATTTGTTTGTAAACAAGTCATTCTGAGTCAAGTTAACTCTAATTATGAATCCTCTTAAGTTAAAATCAAATCTAATGTTTTGAGTTGCATTCAAGATTTTGATTCGTTAGAGTTATGTTTGTTTCCACTATTATTGATTTAAAGGGAATACAACTAGTACATTGACCCGGTCCTGCACTGGCTCATGCAAGTGCATGTATCGTGTAAGTAATATATGAATTTGAGTTAGAACATCATTCCACGAGGAAGTGAGATGATGAAAAAGCCAAGTTAAAGGCACCAGTGTCACAAATCTTAATTCTGCTCAAAGAAATGAAAATTTGAATGAGTTGATTTTTTTTGTTCTTCTATTTAGGTGTTTCAATGGCAAGATAATCTTTCTATGGATTCTATGTCATAAAATCAAAGTTAAAGGCACTAGTGTCACACATCCTAATTCTATTCAAAGAAATGAAAATTTGAATGAGTTGATTTTTTTTTTGTTCTTCTATTTAGGAGTTTCAAATGCAAGAGAATCTTTCTTTTGATTCTATCTTTTGATTCTTCTTTTGATTCTATGTCGTAAAATCGAAGTGATGAAAAAGGCTTAACTAATGTAAGTTGCCAATCAGGAACATCTATGATTTTAAGCCTCTGTCGATAGCAACAAAAACACTTATTTTCAAAAACTGAAGTCATATGTATATCCTTATAGGCATTTCAAAATTAGAATAATCATGTCTTCCTATTGATTGTGAAAATTCAAGGATGATATGTCTATATTCCTAAAGCAACGAGGAAAATCTCCATGTGCGAGCGAGGACTTTGTGATATTACCTATTGAAGGAAATGAAAATTTGAATGAGTCGATTTTTTTGTTCTTCTATTTAGGAGTTTTAAATGCAAGAGAATCTTTCTTTTGATTCTATGTCGTAAAATTGAAGTGATGAAAAAGGCTTAACTAATGTAAGTTGCCAATCATGAACATCTATGATTTTAAGCCTCTGCCGATAGCAACAAAAACACTTATTTTCAAAACCCTAAGTCATATGTATATGCTTATAGGCATTTCAAAATTAGAATAATCGTGTCTTCCTATTGATTGTGAAAATTCAAGGATGATATGTCTATATTCCTAAAGCAATGAGGAGAATCTCCATGTGCAAGTGAGGACTCTGTGTTATTACCCATTGAAGGAAATGAAAATTTAAATGACTTGATTTTTTTGTTCTTCTATTTAGGAGTTTCAAATGCAAGAGAATCTTGTCTCCCTATTGATTGTGAAAATTCAAGGATGATATGTCTATATTCCTAAACCAACGAGGAGAATCTCCATGTGCAAGTGAGGACTCTGTGATATTACCTATTCAAGGAAATGAAAATTTGAATGAGTCGATTTTTTTTATCTTCTATTTAGGAGTTTCAAATGCAAGATAATCTTTCTTTTGATTCTATGCTGTAAAATCGAAGTGATGAAAAAGGTTTAACTGATGTAAGTTGTCAATCAGGAACATATGTGATTTTAAGCCTCTGTCGACAGCAACAAAAACACTTATTTTCAAAACCCTAAGTCATATGTATATGCTCAAAGGCATTTCAAGATTAGAACAATCGTGGCTCCCTATTGATTGTGAAAATTCAAGGATGATATGTCTGTATTCCTAAAGCAACGTTGAGAATCTCCATGTGCAAGTGAGGACTCTACGATATTACAAACTCACGAGATTTTAAACAAACATATGACCACTACAATTTACTAAATGAGATTCGTCATGGTCAACTGTGGCTGGAAAAAGGGAAGAACTACTATTGAGAGTAGTAGACAAGGAGGTTGGTGGCTGGGAGCTAGCTGGAAGCAAGTCATGGTAATCTGCAACTGGAAACATGAGCAAGGAGGGGACCTACGGCTGTTGGAAGGAGGAGAGGGTGTCGTGGGTGTATTGTAAGGCTGAAGGGCGAGGGCAGGGAAAATAAGGGGGGGTGTTGTTGTAGGGAAGATGACTGCAAGGAGGATAGAGGAAGATGCACACCACAATAGGAGCACCTTCTCGCTGTCTGATACAACCTAGAAGGAAAAATGGGAATGTCAAAGGCTGTCCAAATAGAAATCTTAATCAAAACTGCAGCTCTAAACAGTAACACATATATTTATAATAAGTAAAATAGGGGGGAGGGGAAAAGAGCGGCAGATCCCGCCCCATTATAAGGTTGGCCGGTCTAGCCTCTCTGCTGGACCAACACTCACTTGTTGGATCGGCCGGTCCAGTTCTCAACCCCACGTCACTTATAAACTGTAGTAATACAAGGAAAATGGAAATAATATGCACACCAGTTAAGTTTTTAATAAATCAATATGAAATATTAGATAGTTTATGAATATTATCACTTTTCATATTTTACACTATCAAAGTGTTGTACTATATCAATGACATATCTATATCATTTATATATATATATATAATCGTCATAGGAGTATCGTCTAAAAATTATATCAATTAAGATACTTTAATATCAATATCGTTTTCCATTTATGTGCATCTAGCATCATAAAATTGTGACTCTATCATACTCAATCATACTTATGTAAACATACTATGAAAAATATTATTTAATAATGAATATTTCATTTTAATTTGCATAATAGTTCATATACTTTATAACATTCAATATCTGTGATAATTTTAAAAAAATTGCTATGTACATATCATTCCTACAATATAAATAAAAATTTAATAAAATCATAAATGGTGAGTTGCAGTGACTTCAATATAACTAATAACAGTAGCAGTAAATGCATTTGATCTTGAAGATGCACAGTATCATCATAGTATAAAAATATAAGTACTCACATCGATAACGATTAATTTATTCTTGAATTTGTCATAATCCAACCTTTTAAAATTTAAGCCTATAATAAAAATGGGCGTGAAATTTAATTAATTTATTATTTTAATTAACTATTAGCTTTACATTATTTAAGTATTAAATTTCCATTATTTTACTTTATGTAATCCTACGTGCGCGTGTGTGTGTATGTAATCCTACGTGCGCGCGTGTGTGTAATCCTACGTGCACAACGTTAGGTAGTCAAATGCATTACCAAATTTCAAGATGATTTATTAAATCAAAAATTATTATTAATAAGAATTGATTGCAGCTCAATTAAGTATATACTGCAAAGAGACGTAAAAAATCTTGTCTCTAAACAAATTTTTGCCAATTGGCAAACTCAATTATCTTGTTTTGAATTTGATATAGAGTAGAATATATTGCAGGCAATACTAATTCTTTACCTGACTTTCTCAATCCTGAATTTTTGCAGGGAGAAAGACAAGGAGGGGTGGATCATCCCTCATCAAAGGGTTAGAATGACACCCCAACGGAGTGCTTTCACCTTTAGAGGGGGGAGAGGTAGGGGCTAAGCAAATGTGGTTCCACAAAAATTTATTGATTTACAATAATATCTATATGGTAGTCCAATGACTTCCACATCAGGAATTAAATCTCCTCAATCTCAGGATTTACAAATCCAAGAAGTCACAGAATTTGAGCAAAAAATAACGAAAGAAAAAATTCTCGAAATCAATTTAGAGGATTATGAAATTAATGATCATTGGAAAATTCAGGAAAGATATTTAGGCACAATTGCCTATGCTCAAGATATTCTTGATTGAGAATCGTATGAGACAATCCTCATTTCATTACAATGTATTGAAATTTAACATAATTATAATGAACCAAATAAATCTATTGCATATAGCAAGGCGACAATAAATCGCATCTTGCATCATAGAGATTGAGGTTTAACTCTTTTCCAGACTAAACAAGTTGATTTTATTCATCCTGTAAGTAATCAGAAAAAAGTCATTTCTTTTTAATTATTAGACCTATGTCCAACTTATGAATCGAGCTTTCTTGTTTATTAATCCAAAACATAAACACTCTTGGCTTTTTGTGTTAATGCATGAAATTTTGAATAAAGAAATACCAAATTGGTTTTTAGAATGGTGAGAAAAATTTGGAGCCACCAATGAAATTCTTCCAGAACCCATCAATGATCTCTATCCAATGTGTGTTAACTTTTCTCCATAGCTCGGCAAAATAAAAAATAAAATTTTAGTCGATGGAATGTATGAATTATTATTTTTCTGCCAAGCACAAATTCCATGGATTTTTGCTTGGAATCTATGTCATCAACAAGATAGAGTCAATGTCAAAGGATTATGGCGGACCTTCTTCATCAAATGGTGGTCACAAATCGTTGTTGGTGATAAAATAATTCAAATTAATAAAGTCATTAATTCTAATGTCGAAGATAATCGAGAACAGAGATCCCAAGAATTTTTGCTTAAGGAAATTCATGATCAAATTAAAAGGAAATATTCAGAAGAAATTATGGGTAATAATGACAGTGGTTGAAATAATATCGGTTGGTGGAATAGTGATTACAATAATTCTGGTTGGTGTAATAGTATTTTAAAATAATTTCCTGCTTTATGTCACATCCAACGGAGGTGTTATCTTTTGTTTAATTCTATTGTATTAAATTTGGAGTCCGCCCTCTAATATAAATAGGGGTCTTGTTTTCTTTGCTGGTGTGCAAGTTTTCTTCGAATCCTTTCATTGTAATATAGAAGCGTCTGTCTGGTGTGCTCTTCCAGTCCTGTGCTCTGATTAATAATATATGTATAAGATTCTTATTAAATATTTCAATTAAAGTTGCTAAAACTGGCCTTTGTAACTTATAACTCTCGGTTGAGCCTTAATCCA